GGAATGAGTATTATAAATTTTAAATAAAATAATTATTACAGTTTTATCGCGCGTAATTATTAGCATGGCTTAATAATTGTGAAAATCTCTTACCGTTATTTGTTTTAAATTTAAGGTGTAATATAAGAATATTAAAAAGATAATTGTAAAAAATATATTGTGCAACACGCATATTTTCTTTCAAAATAATTACAACTTTATTTTTATAACGTGCCTGCTTACCTAATTGGTTAGAATAGGCCGGAACGACGGACGATATGATCAAATTAGACTTAAAACAAGATGAATAGCTAAGCCGTATTTAAACTTAAATATCTTTAAAGTATTTTGTATACATTTGCTTTACCGCCTGAGGAGCTTAACAAGCGATCGTACCTCAAAATAAACAATGGCTTAAGGTCCGAAGATGGTAGTATGTCATATAACTGAGTATCGGTGCTCTAGCTCATTGTTTCGTTTGTCTGTTGTCTCCTCAAACTATTATGGCTTACACGATAAACGGGGTAAAGTGCTATTAAAGCATATTTGGAGGTGAATTGGGATGGTTAAATGTGACCGTTAAAATTTTAACATTGTGAAACACAATCGGAAAACAATACAACATGTGTTTATTTAAGTGAATACAAAGAATATAACAGTAAAATAGGTATTTAATATTATCTATCAGTTTAAGTTAGAGCAGAATGAAAACAAATATCTTAATATATTTTGGTTAAGAACTAAAACATGACCCGATGCTTCTGTCATTATAACGCGCCAACCATTAACTGAAGATATATATAAATCTAAAAACTATCAATGACGCGATGCATCAGTCATGGTAATATCTGTTTTGTTGTGCTCCTGTAACAGAAATTATCGTTAAATGTTCGTCTTTTTGATAGTAAATACCATAATTGCTATAAAAAATCAACAATAGTATGCATTACCCAATAATGTGTTACATCATGACCGTCATCAAAGTTGGTGGAATCTAATGGTACTTGAGCGGGAGCCTCAAAATATACACAACGAAAAGTCTATAAAATAAAAATTGTTATTAAAATTAAAAAAAAATGTTTTATTAATTTTTACTCACCCAGTAGTTTGGATTGTCCTTGCCGGTAATACGAATGAATACAATCGGCCTGGGTTTAAAATGCAACACCTGCCAACCATGTGTCCGTTTCTTAGAATTGTTTATGATCATTACCCATTTCTGGTTATCGAGAGAAGCTTCTACAGTGTAACGGTAATATAGGCCCCTCTGGTCCCAAAGCAGCATTCTATCAATTATTACAAAAATATTAATATTATTATCAATGAAAGCAAAAAATTAAAACAAAAGTTGCCGATATGAAAACCAATAAAAGTCATAAAAACGATAACAACATTCAAGTTAGATCTATGCAGCTGAACGCATTCAAATTGGCCAGATATAAATGATATCTTAGGCAATCTATTGAGACATCACATTTTTTTTTAACATATATGATGATAAAAAAAAAGCAACCATTTAAAAATGGCAAGTTCATTAAATCATTACCTCATTGAACTGAGTATATAAGGTTGTGCAAGTTGAATCCGAATACAACCTGATCCCGGAATATGCCATGTATATTTGTTATACCGAAAGTTATTATAGTCACTATAGTAGGGTTCAAGTAGGAAAAATCTTGATTCATTCGATTCACCGACATCTACATTTGCACTCAAAGATTTTACAGCAACATTATACTTGGGAACTAAGAAATAAAAATAAGCCAACTACATATATAAAAATTATATTTTTTGGATATTTATATTTTGCAATTAGGTGTGGTGATCTTACCCACGAATCCATTTTCGATTTTCAATGAGTCCAATCTTTCAATATTGTACGATAGTTCTAATAATTGGAATTTTTTTTTAACAGTATTTGTTGTACCAACTATTCGAATATACCTAACTATCTGCTTAGGAATCCACAAATCTTGAACAGAACGACAAATATAATCTGAATAATCTACAACACGCACCCAATGGTGGTCATCAATTGAAACATCAATGTAATAACTGTAATCCCTAAAAAATCATATAAAACAAACAAACCGTTTTATATATTTTTTTAGATGTATAAAATAAAAATAACACATAATTGTTGTGTATAGAATTAATAGTTATTCCACATAAAAAAAAACATTTTTATAAATCTCTCTCCCTTACGGTTAACGTGCGTTTTTCCGCCAAATGAACGATTTAGTGCAGGTGGCAATTTGTTCCTCTACACAATTGCCCCCCAGAGGAACAAACCGCCAGTGGCTTGCACTACACATTTTCAAAAATATAAATATAATTAAACAATTAATAAAGCTTGAGTGGGGTATTATATTTACACTATTTACATAACTTGAGGTTACTACCACTTGGATATATTGGCTAGTTCGATAATGTTTCGGAATACTTGCACGTTCCATGTTCAAGGCTGTGGTTCGATGCTGCTCGCTCCACGCTCTTCTGCAGACTGACCGATTCGCTTCCGTTGGTGCAGGTTATATACCATACCCCCAACCGCATTCTCCGCTTCCTCTTGCCGCTGCCACCTGTTTTCAACGGCCACACCTCTTCGCCTTGGCCGGCTACCGCATGACTGATTGCCGTTATCAATTATTTCTTGCTGCCAGCTGTTTTCTACGGCCACACCCCTTCTGGAGTCCAAAAGATGAACTACCGAAACTACAAACACCGGGAGTCTACGAACTTCAGTGTACCTGTGGTCATTCATACATCGGGCAAACAAAACGACCTATTGAAGTACGTGCCAGAGAACACGAATAAGATGTTGACTACAAAAGAACTGGAAAATCGGCCGTAGCAGAACACGTGGGTCAAGAAGGTCATAGCGTAAACTTTGAAGAAATCATGGTCCTGTCCCGAGAATCCTATTACTCGAAACGTATGCTGAGGGAAGCCAGAGAAATCGAAAAATGCACAACAAACTTCAACCGAGAAGATGGTTGGAAACTGAGCAAAACGTGGAAACCGGTGATACGTCAATTAAAAAAAGGACCAAAAGAAACCAGAGACCAAGCGGGACGAAGAGAGCCGGAAATACAGCAAGAAACTATTGATAGCGTAAACAAAAATCAGTCATCCGGCAGCCGGTCAAGAAAAAGGGGCGTGACCGTAAAAAACAGCTGGCAGCAAGAAACTATTGACAACAGTAATCAGTCATGCTGTAGCCGACCATGGCGAAGGGGCGTGGCCGTAGAAAAAAGCTGGCAGCGGCAAGAGGAAGCGGATAATGCGGTTGGGGGTATGGTATATAACCTGCACCAACGGAAGCGAATCGGTCAGTCTGCAGAAGAGCGCGGAGCGAGCAGCATCGAACCACAGCCTTGAAGATGGAACGTGCAAGTATTCCGAAACATTATCGAACTAGTCAAGACATCCAAGTGGGAGTAACCTCAAGTTATGTAAATAGTGTAAAAATATAATTATTTAAAATAAAAACCTGTGAATCTAATAAAGAATAATTATATTGAACACAACTCTATTGAATAATTTTCATTTATGATTAAAAAATATTAATAAACATACCCGGAATTATTATCCCCGAATATAATCATAATTTTGTTTATAACTGTTAAATGATCCAAAGTTATCATAGCACCTCCGTCAAATTCATTAATATCCAAAACACCCTGAGAACCATTAATAATATTCACATCTGAAAATTTCAAAATTAAAACCGACATAATATGATGAATATAAAATGTTGTGTGCTAGAAGCATACTTTGCTGTACTCGAAACTGAAGCTCGTGTGGTGATACCGTGTTTCGTAACAACTTGGCATCCGAAATTGTTTCCGATATTCTTTCCGAACTAACCAGTTGTGATATGCTAACCTCATCCAGTTCTCCATCACTCATTAATGCATATCTAACAGTAGATAAAACTTGGTTGATGGCATCTGAATCTAAGTAGTCTTGGTTCTCTATCATCCAGCGGTTTACCGCACGAAATATTTCCAATTCGTTAGCACAAAACGAGTCACGAGTGAGAATTTCTTGAAGAGCTCCCTAAAATTAAAATTTTGTTTCCCAACTTGTCACATAACACGAATAACATAATTTTTTTCTTATTCAAATACTATTACGGCTGACAAGTTTAGAAAATCTTCTGATTGCAATACATCCAAAGCGTGAGTTTCGATAAAATTGAGCAGATATTCGGGTGATTTTACCACGGAGATTTTGGGCTGACAAAGTCGTGACATAGCAAACAAAGAACATACATTATGTTCATTTATGTTATTGCTTAAATACTGAGACAGTGTGTATTGTAAGTCTGAGAGTTCATATAAATTCGATAGACTAAATAATTCTACAATAACTTTATCCTGAAAAATATATAATTAAATCATTGTTTAATTGTTTTCATATGAATATCTTTTTCTAAACTAACTTATTAAACACAACCGATCGATTTAAACCATCGCACACCTCTTAATAAAATAGGGTATACGTAGTGTAAATAGCCATAAAATATATCGGTTATACCTCACCTTTAGATCACTTAAATTCATCCGACCAGTATAAATATATTCAAGAATTATTTTAAATGAGGCTAATGGTGCATCACTAATGTTCACTTCAGGCTTATCGGATTCTTGAAAACCTCCGAACAATAACCTTCTAGAAATTATACATGATATTAATGCAAAAAATTATTTCATCGACCCCAACGAAAAAAGTCGTAAATCATTTTTGAAACTAAGTTGTGTTTTGACCTGAAAACACATGTTTTCTGTTGAACCGGAATAGATAGTGGTATTATAAATGGGCCAAAGAAGTAATCTGTGAACCAGTTAAAGATAAAGTGAGTTAAAACCGTTTTCATAGGGGGAGCGTCGAAAATATGTGTAACAATCAGTAAGCCTGAGGCTTTTGTAGTATGACTTCCCAGACTATCTGTCTAAAACTACTCAAAATCAATTAATTCTAAGGTGATATTCTTAATTAAAAAACTTTTTAGGTACCTGAAATATTCACTTCGTGAAGCTAATATAGCACGGTGGACTGGCAAGTGTACCTTATCGACAATAAAAACAACATCAGAAAATCTGAAATAAACATTATATACAGAAACGAATTATCAAAAAATAGTAGTTAATATTTTTCACTTTTTACGTTGTTAAAAACCGACATCCTGATTAAGATAAATAATATTAGATGACTTTTTTTAAATTATTATCAAAAATAATTCACCTAATAATAATATTATATCTATGATTCCATAACACTAGCTTAAGCTTTTTTCAAATTTAAGAAACATAAATTTAAGATTAAAATTTATATTTAAATTTTATAACTATTTTACTATTATTGGAAATATATGAAATAATAAATTCCTTATGTTACAGAAAATTAAACCCATAATAAAAATAATTGGTTAAATAATAAAGTAATTGTCGCAATGACCTAACCTACCCAACTTACCTGTCATCTAGAAACAGAGTGCTAATGTCTTTGACCACTAAGTCACGGTGTTCGATTTGCTTTTCGTTCTGTTCGGCTGTAGAAGAAGATGGTGTAGAATCAACAGAATAATAACATGCTAAAAAAAATTAAAAAACAAACTGATTTTGCTGTAGAGAAAGTATGGTTTATTTATTTAGAATGCGGTGTACTATCAAGCCATCCAATTTCACTAATTATTCATACTGTTTACTTAGTTAATCAAATAAAATAATAAAAATATTGTTTTTGAGCGCAAATAATACGTTTTAATAATTAAAAAACTGTCATAGTCAAATAATAATAAATGTATGACATTAGATTTCTCTGAAAATAATTACAATTTTTTGAAGTTTTGAAGCGTGTAATGGACGTGTAATACGTTGTACAGCGTATAAACTATAAAAAACATTTTCGTTGGTTTGTTCAAATAAATAATATGTTACTTATGTAAAAACAAGGAAAACATTTGTGACTTAGAAATGCATAAATATTTTGGCGGAACACAAAAATTATTATAATTCGATTATCAAAAAACTAACTGTGGTTTACATCATTAGTAATAACTTATAATAACACTTAGCGATTGCTGCGTTCGAATAATACAAAAACACAATTCTTAATTTATTTGTAAAATATATTAGGTATGTACATGGAGCTATAGTACATTTATGACATTAGTTATCTTTGAATATAATTAATAATGTTTATAAGTGTGTAAGGGACGTGTAGTACGTTGTATGGTGTATAAAATCTATAAAATAATAGCGTTGGATTGTTCAAATAAATACCACCATACCTACGTAAACACGATAAAAAAAATCGTAACGGTTGTGTACATTTATCGGATTAACACAAAAAATTAACTAAGCTTATGAAAAATTAACGATGGTTAAGAACCACTTAAGTTGATCAAAAACTATATAACTAGTGTAGTTATTGAATGTCAGAGTTTGTGTATGTTCTAGTCTTATCTTAAGTGTGATACTAGTGTTGTCTAAAATATTTTTAAATGTCATGTAGGTATTGTACATCTATAGTAATAATAACGCTTAGAGATTGCTGCGTTCAAATTATATAGAGACAAATTGATTAATTTATTTGTAAAATATATTATGTACCTGGAGTTGTCCATAAAATAATAACGACAAAAAAATAAATCATCTTCGTGTTAAATGATGAAGGCATTTAATATTAAATGTGAACCCTTTATAAAACACTATAAAGAAAATCGTCATGAGTGTTTAAAAATGTAGTTTTATCATAGTAGCGTACCATTTTTTTCTATACTTACATACTAACGTTGATAAACGAAAATCTGTGTACACGATATGTTTTTTTTGTGTAGGTACATAAATATGTTATTTCTGTATATTGACTAACGTTTAATATTGCCCAGAAGGTTTAAACCGAATAAAGGTCTTATACTTATTCATCGTTTTTTCTATAGGCATTATAATGCAGATTTAACAAATGCTCTATATAAAACCCAATGTCAAAATGGAAAACTAAATTTAAAAAATCAGCAAAGTTCATTTAAAAAAATTTAGAATTTCCTTAGCCAGTTGACTTGACTAGGCTAGGCCAAAACGACAGTCGATAGGATTAAATTATTTGTGAATTTATTTTAATTAAGGTAATCATGCAATTTTTCAATAGTCTTTATGATATATATCTTTTTGTCCATATCTATTAGAGGACGTTTGTCCATTAAAGTTATAGTAAATAAAAAAGTTAGTGGGCCAAAGACAGGATGGATGGCCAAGCCGTATTTAAACATAAATATCCCTCAAGTCTTTTACAAATATTTACTATACCGTCTGAGGAGCATAACAGGCGATCGTACCTCTAAAGAAGTTATGGCTTAAAATAAATTAGTTATTGGTCCGAAGATGGTAGTATGTCAACTAACTGAGCATTGGTGACACGGCTCATTGACCCTTTTATATGTTGTCTCCACAAACTATTATATCTTACAAGCTATACGGTGTTAAGTGCATTGCGAAAAACTAAATTTTTATTTCAACCATAAAATAATACAACCTATTTTATTTATTATTTTTTTTATTACATTTTTTTTTCAAGATAGCCATAGTTTTATTTAAACTAATTTTTAGAAAATAATTAGTGAAAAAATTTCTTTTTTTATTCATCCGTTCAAAAGTTATATTCGTTTGACAGTGAGGATGACTGATGACGAGAGGTGGAGTGCGGTAAGTAACGTGCGCAGATAAAAATAACTCTACACGGATTACTCTACTAACTTATTAAAAAAAAAAATCTCTAAAATATCCAATTGAACAAAAGTTAATTAATTTGTCAAATCTTTGTAGGCCACCCTGTATATTAATGATACGGTGTATTATCGAGTATTCTGATTTTACATTAAAAGATTGCTGCGATCAATTTATAAAGAAACAAATTTATTAATGCATTTGTAAAATATATTATGTACCTGGAGTTGAACATAAAATAATAATGACAAATAAATAAATCATCTTCGTGTTACATTATGTGGAAATATAATATCAATCGTTTAACACTATACAAAACACTATAAAGAAAACGGTCCCAGAAGGTTTGAAACTGACATCAGTCTAATATACAGGATGATTTTTTTATCATTGGCCAGTCAATATCTCACTGGAAAGAAAGGTGCAGTGTAATATTATTTTTATCTGCGCGCACTTCCCAACCATACTTCCCCTCCCGTCCTATCTGTTTTACTATTATAACTTTAAATTATTAATATCAAATTTAAGAAAAAAAAGCCATTAAAAAAAGTTATTTAATTTGTCAAATATTTGTGGGAAACCCTGTATATTCAATGAGTACATTTATATGTTCGAAACCATACACTTCAACATAATTCATAATGCCGCCAAATGTGTCTTGTCGGCGTGCGGTGTATAACTAAATTCTGCAAATTTTTGCGTGAACTTGAAAATAAAAAGCTGTATCACGACCCAGATTCAATATATTCGAAAACATCCACACACTTATATATCTTCATTTATCTGATCTATCACTTATTTATCGGTTTTTCTATGAGCATCAGAAATATACAGATTTAACAGTTGCTCTTTCTAGAACTCTTAAGTCAAAATGGAAAACGAAATTTTAAAAATCAGCGAAGCTCATATGAAATAATATATTATTAAAATTAATATATATAAATATTAGATAAAAATGCTCATTGCTTGTTAAAAAACCTCATTAAAAAAACCTAGAAAATTCCTAGTAAATACAAAGAATATAACAGTAAAATAGATATTTAATATTATCTGTCAATTTAAGTTAGCGCAGAAGGAAAACAAATATCTTAGAATATTTTGGTTATGGACTAAAAGATGACCCGATGCTTCTGTAACAGTAAGGCGCTAACCATTAACTGCAGATATATATAAATCTAAAATTTATCAACTTCCCGATGCATCAGTCATGGTAATATCTGTTTCGTTGTTTTCCTGAAACAGAAATTATCGTTAAATGTTCGTCTTTTTGATAGTAAATACCATAATTGCTATAAATAACCGACAATAGTATGCATTACCCAATAATGTGTTACAACATGACCGTCACCAAAGTTGGTGGAATCTAATGGTACTTGAGCGGGTGCCTCAAAATATACACAACGAAAAGTCTATAAAATAAATGATTTATTAAAATTTAAAAAAAATTGTTAATTAATTTTTACTCACACAGTATATTGGATTGCGATTGCCGGTAATACGAATGAACACAGTCGGCCTGGGTTTAAAATGCAACACCTGCCAACCACGTGTCTGTTTCTTAGAATTGTTTATGATCATTACCCATTCCTGGTTATTGGCAGAAACTTCGACGGTGTAACTGTAGAATCGGTCACTCTGGTCCCAAAGTAGCATTCTGTTAATTATGACAATAATATCTATATTGTTATCAATATAAACCGAATATTAAAACCTATAACGAAAGTGTTGATGAACATTTAAGTTATGTCTATTTAGCTGAACGCATACAAATTGGCAATCTATCAAGACATCACAATTTTTTTCTACAAGCATGACAATATACGATAAAGTAGTCATTATAAAATGGCACGTTTATTTAATCGTTACCTCATTGAACTAAGTATATAAGGTTGTGCGAGTTGAATCCGAATGCGATCCAACCCTAGAAGATGCCATTTATATTTGTTATGCCGAAAGTCTCTAGAGCCAATATAGTAGGGATCAGTTAAGAAATGTCTCCTATTATGTGGTTCATCTTCATTTACAGTAGCATTCATAGATTCATTAGCCACATTGTACTCGGGAGCTAAAAAATTAAAAAAAGTTAACTAAATAAAAATGTATTATGTTTTTATAATTTATTATGTTAAAATATCGTTGTTTTTTACGGGCGAGAAATATGTGTTCTTACCCACGAATCCATTTTCGATTTTCAATGAGTCCAATCTTTCAGTATTGTACGATAGTTCTAATAATTGGAATTTCTTATCAACAGTATTTTTTGTACCAACTATTCGAATATACCTAACTATCTGCTTAGGAATCCACAAATCTTGAACAGAACGACAAATATAATCTGAATTATCTACAACACGCACCCAATGGTGGTCATCAATTGAAACATCAATATAATAACTGTAATTCCTAAAAATTCAAATAAATTAAACGAACCGTTTTATATATTTTTATTACTTCTAAAATAAAAAAGATAATTAGTGCTGGATTATTTGATAAATCATTATATAAATTATTAATTATTACTAACAATAATTTCATTTTATAAATAAAAGTTATTGACAAATAAGAATAAACTAATTTGGGATAAATTAAGGGAAACTTAAAGCGGAATACTTATACTGGACACATACACAAATTTCCATTTGTGATTAAAAGCATTGATAAACATACCCTGAATCATTATCCCCGAAAATAATTGTAATTTTGTTTATAATTGCTAAATGACCCAAAGTTATCATAGCACTGCCGTCAAATTCATTGATATCCAGAACACCTTGAGAACCATGAATAAGATTCACATCTAAAATTTTTAAAACTAACATAATTTGATGAATAATAAAGTATGAGTGCAACAAGCATACTTTGTTGTACTCGAAGCTGCAGGTCATGTGGTGACACCGTGTTTCGTAACAACTTGGCTTCCAATATTATATTCGATATTGTATTTGAACTAATCAGCTGTGATTTTATGCTGATCTCGTTCAGTTCTTCGTCACTCATTAATGAATATCTAACAACAGATAAAACCTGGTTGATGGCATCAGAATCTAAGTAGTCTTGGTTCTCTATGATCCAGTGATAAACCGCACGGAATATTTCTAATTCGGTAGCAAAAAACGAGTCACGAATGAGAATTTCTTGAAGAGCTCCCTAAAAATAAAATTTGTTTCTCAACTTGAGATCTAACACGAGGAATAAAAGTTTTTTTATCCAAATATTATTACGGCTGACAATGTTAAAAAATCTTCAGATTGCAATACATCCAAAGCGTGAGTATCGATAAAGTTGAGCAGATATTCGGGTGATTTTACCACGGAGGTTTCGGGTTGACAAAGTCGTGACATAGCAAACAAAGAACATACATTATGTACATTTATGTTATTGCTTAAATACTGAGACAGTGTGTATTGTAAGTCTGAAAGTTCATACAAATTCGAGAGACTAAATAATTCCACAATAACTTTATCCTGAAAAATATATAATTAAATCATTAATTAATTGTTTTCATATAATTATCTTATTTCAAACTAACTAATTAAACGGTATAGTGTAAATAGCCTTAAAGTACATCGATTATACGTCACCTTTAGATCTCTCAAACTCATCCGACCGGTATACATATACTCAAGAATTATTTTAAATGAGGCCAATGATGCATCACTAATGTTCACTTCAGGCTTACCGGATTCTTGAAAACCTCCGAACAATAACCTTCTAGAAATTATACATGATATTAATGCGAACAATTATTTCAACGATCCCAACGGAAAAAAAACTATATAACCAGTTAAAGATAAAGTGAGTTAAAACCGTTTTCATAGGGGCAGTGTCGAAATATATGTTCCACAATCAGTAAGGCTAAGGCTTTTGTAGTATGACTTCCAGACTATCTTAATTTTGTAATGAATTTTTAAAACCTTTATATAAAGAAATATAATATGATAAATTTTGTCGGAACAAATTAAACGTATTGGCTTGTGACTGCCACTGACCAACAATAATTCGTTTTTATTACGTTTATCGATAAGTACTTTTTTATTAAGAGCAACACTATTAGCACCCTAAAAACTATTAAATATCAATTAATTCTAAGGTGATATGCTTAATATCAAGAACTTTATACGTACCTAAAATATTCACTGCGTGAAGCTAAAACATCACGGTGGACTGGCAATTGTACCTCATCGACAATTAATACAACATCAGAAAATCTGAAATTAACATTATAATTTATTATTATACAGATACGAATTATCGAAAATATAATAATTATTATGATTCACTTTTTATGTAGTTATAAACTGACACACTGATTTGACAGTAGACGACTTTTCTTTAATAATTTACAAAAATAATTCACCTATTAATAATCCTCTACCTGGTATAGAAAGACATTAGTTAAATTTTTTCCCAAATATATTAAAAATAAATTATAGCCTATAATTAAAATTAAAATTGTATACATGTTTAATTATAATTAGAAATATTTGAAATAGTAAATTATTTATGTTAATGAAAAGAATTGACATAATAATAATGTTATTGGTGCAAAGACCTAACGTAACGGACATACCTGTTGTCTAGATACAGATCGCTAAAGTCTTTGGTCAATAACTGACTGTGATCGATTGGTTCTTTGCTGTGCTGTTTGGCTGTAGAACGAGATGGTGAACACTCAACAGGCTCGTAACACGCTAAAAGAAATTAAAAAAAAAAATGATTTTGCTGTAGAATAAGTATAATTTATACAGGATGGACTACAAAGATTTGAAAAATTAAATAACTTTTGTTCTAGTGAATATTTTTGAGATTTTTTTTTTTAATTATTTGAACTCATTAGCGCTATAAGCATCACGGTTTTTATTGTACCTACCTGTTTTAATTGTTTTATTTATTTTATTACATTTTTTAAATTTTTTTTCAGGGTAGCCATTTTATTCAAAATAATTTTTAAAAAATAATTGGTGAAAAAATGTCTATTTTTATTCATCCGTTCAAAGGTTATATTCATTTGAAAGTGAGGATGACTGATGACGGGAAGTGGAGTGCGGTAGGTAACGCGCGTAAATAAAAATAACTCTACGCGGTTTACACTACTAACTTATTAAAAAAAAAAATCTCAAAAATATTCACTTACATTTAGTGATTACTGCGATCAATTTATAAAGAAACAAAATTATTAATGTTTTTTAAAAATATATTATGTACCTGGAGTTGTCCATAAAATAATAACGACTGAAAAACAAATCATCTTCTTATTAAATCATATGAGAATATAATACCAAATGTTGAACACTATATGGTAATGAGTGTTTGAAAGCCCATTGAAAAATTTACTTATATCACAGTAGCGTAACATATTTTTTTAACTTACATACTAACGTTGATAAACGAAAAACTGTGTATACGATTTGTGTTCGTTTTTTTGTGTAGGTACATAAAGTAACTATTACTGTATTTTAACTGATGTTTGACTAATGCCCAGAAAGTTTGAAACCGACATTAGTCTAATATACAGGGTGATTTTTTTATCGTGGGCCAGTCAAGATCTCACTGTAAAGAAAGGTGCAGTATATTATTATTTTTATCTACGCACACTTCCCCTCCCGTCCTATCTTTTTTACTATTATAACTTTAAATTATTAATATCAAATTTAAGAAAAAAAAGCCATTAAAAAAAGTTATTTAATTTGTCAAATATTTGTGGGAAACCCTGTATATTCAATGAGTACATTTATATGTTCGAAACCATACACTTCAACATAATTCATAATGCCGCCAAATGCGTCTTGTTGGCGTGCGGTGTATAGCTAAATGCTGCAAATATTTACCTGTATTTGAAAACAAAAAGCTGTATTGATCGGCTTTTCTGTAGGCATCATGAATATATAGATTTAACACTTGCTCTTTTCAAAACTTTGAATAAAAAAACGGAAAACTTAATTTTTAAAAATTATCGCAGTTCATTTGAAATAACATAGACTTTTTTTGTGTTTGGAAAAGTTTGCGGTCAGTTCACTACCAGTGTGATTGAATGTGATTTATAAATTAATGTAGATACAATTTTAAACTTGATATAATGTATAAGATGTTTATCAGATCTCAATTCTAGCATTACACAATATATGGCGATACATTGATATACTATTTGATTCCACTTACAATATTAGATTAGAATATATTAGATATTTAATATATTATATCCATTATATTATTTGCCAATTGTGTTCATTTTTGTTTTATATTCGAAGAGCCCAACGGTCTTTAAGGGAATTTCTGAATATTTATTACGCGATGTAAAGCGGTAAAACCAATTAAGAAGGGCAGAAATTAATATCTAAAATATTATTCAATTGTTGGGTACTATTTATTTACCATTCAGTGTACAGAATGGTAAATAAATTCAATATCATACTGAAATTTTTTCATAAACGAAAATTTATTTAATTTTTAATATATTTGTAGGTCGCCCTTAATGATGTAAACATTTCAAAATAAAGAGTAATAAGTGTTATGTTTAAATCGCAAATTATTTATGTACCTAACTTTAAACTTGTTTCACAAGCTGCACCCCTTCACTCAATTTATTATACATGATAAGAATTGTCTGAATTAGGATACATACATTTAGCTCTATTTTTATATCGAACCAAAAAATGGAAAATTAATTTATAAATATTAAATAAATATGTGCATTGCCTGAAACACACACATTTTCTTTCAAAATAATTACAACTTTGTTTTTATAACGTGCCTGCTTACCTAATTGGTTAAAATAGGCCGGCAGTCCCCATAGTAGGGTTTAAGCATTTGATGCTATGATTCATTTGGTGTACCTTCAATTACAGTTGCATCCATAGATTGTATAGCAACATTGTACTTGGGAGCTAAAAAATTGAAATGAGCCAACTAGATAAATATGTATATGTTTTTATGTAATTAAAATACCGGGGTTTTTTTTTTTTACCGATAGTTTTAGGATAGTTCTTATAATTGGAATTTCTTATTAACAGTATTTTTTGTACCAACTATTCGAATAAACCACACTATTTGTATAGGAATCCACAAATATTGAGCAGAACTACAAATATATTCTGAATAATCTACAACACGCACCCAGTGGTGGCCATCAATTGAAACATCGATGTAATAACTATAATTCCTAATAAGTCAAATAAATCGAATGAACAGTTGTGTATTTTTTTTATAACTTATAAAATAAAAATAAATATAAGTGTTCTGTAAAGAATTAACAATTAAAAATTACTTATTTTTTACTAATAATTATTTAATTTTAAATCAAAATTATTTCATCATAAATAAAATAAAATAATTTAGAATAAAAACTAGCGAAATCTAATTTAAAATAATTATATTGAACATACCCTAAATCTTTATCCCCGAAAATAATTTTCATATTGTTTATTATTGTTAACTGACCCAAATTTATCATAGCACCACCGTCAATTTCATTGATATCCAGTACACCTCGAGAACCACGAATAAGATTCACATCTAAAAATTAAATTAATCAAAGCCAGAATAATCCACTGGCTTTTCTCCCGAATAGTTTTATTTTTATTTGTTAAATACTTTATTTATTTATAAAATAACATGATTATTAGTGAAATTAATGTTTAACTATTTATTTTCTCCACAAAAACAATTCAGTTTCAATTTTTTAGCCATAAAAAAACGATTTAAATGATTTATTTAATTTTTTAGGGATTACAGTTATTACATTGATGTTTCAAAGGATGAACACAATTGGGCGCGGGTAGTTGATTATTCAGGTTATATTTGTCGTTCAGTTCAACGTTTGTGGATTCCTCCACAGATAGTGTGGTTTATGCGTATAGTCGGCACAAGAAATACCGTTAATAAGACTGTCCAATTATTAGAAGTCTCGTACAATACTGATAGTTGGCCCTTGGTAAAAATCGAAAACGGTTTAGTTGGTTAGATCACCCCTCCTCATTCCAGAAAAATCATAAAAATATAATACATATATTTTATCTAGTTGACTTATTTTTATTTTTTAGCTCCCAAGTACAATGTTGCTAGAAAATCTATGGATGCAATTGTACTTGAAGGTAAAAAACAATATACAGAATATACGCTATTAAATCCCTACGACGATGACTCTAGGGATCTTGATCTTACGACGCATGATCTGGGATCGGGTTGTATTCTGGTTCAACTTGCACAACCCTATATACTAAGTTCAATGAGGTAATGATCTAAAGAACTTGCTATTTTTTAAATTACTATTTTGTTCTGTATCTTCATGTTAGTTAAACAAAATTGTGGTTTTTGCTAAGTCATTCGTTATCAATTAAATGAATGTTATTGTGTTTTATTCAGCAACATTTGTTCAAATGTTAGATTTTATATTGATAGAATTATTGATATTATGATCATAATTGACAGATTGCTGCTTGCGAACTACCGTTGGAGGGAACCATTCTACGGTTACACCGTAGAAACTTCTCTCAATAACCAGGATTGCGTAATAGTCATAAACAACTCTAAGGAGCAGACATATGATTGGCAGGTATTACAATTCAAACCCATGCCGGTTGTGTTCTTTCGTATCACTGGCGTTTACGTTTCAGATGGCACTGTGAGTAAAATTAAGCTAAAAGATTTTTTTCATCTATTAATAACTCTTCTATACTGTAGGAATTTCGTTGTATAGATTTTGAGGCTCCCGCTCAAGTACGATTACATTTAACCTACTATGATGACGGTCATGATGTAACACATTATAGGGTAAGTACATCAAAGTCAATGCATTCTATTGTTGGTTTATTGTACCAATTTTGTTTTTTACTATCTTAAAGACGCAAATTGAACGAAAATATCTGTTTTCAGGAAAACAACGAAACAGATATTACAATGACAGAAACATCGGCCCAAGATCCAGTCGGTTAAACCATATGCCGAATAAACGTTTAATAATAAACGTTTCATTTTCTGTTTTATTTAACTTTATTAGATGAATGTAATCAAATAATAGGATTTTCGCATTGTGTACAATTATTTGTAACTTTAAAAAACTATTCGTACTTTAATATATTATGACATTATGATAAAAAAATAGTTACATTTTACTTGAAGCCAAATGGCTAAAATAATAAACATTCCGTTCCTTACGCTTACTTTAAAATAAATAATACTATCCACCTGATATACACCACATATTTCATTCTCTATCCGTTATGTAAACAGTGCTGGCCCTCAATTTTATGAATTTTTATATATTTCTTTTTGGGTTTTGTTATTTGCTAAAATCCAGCAAAGCTTGACAATTACAAAACAAGAAAATCAAAATGAACAGATTAAAAGATTTTTACTATTAATGATTTAATGGTAGCATTACAAATAAATGGAAATGTTTTTATTTCAAAGGAATACAAATAGTATAACAATAAACAATATAATAAAATAGATGTTCTGTCAATCTTGGTAAGTGCATATGGAACCAAAAATATGCTTATATTTCGAATTTAGTTTAACCACTAGAGCTTGAAGCATCTGATACAAAAACATCAGTTTCTCTGCTACCATCTTCAAGGTATCTGTTGGAATCTATTGTTATTAGAACAGGAGCCTCCAAATATACACAACGGAATTCCTACAGCATAAAAGAGTCATTAAAAGTTTAAAAAAAAAAAAATGTTAGCTTAATTTAACTAACATCACCATCTGAACTGTGAACGCCAATAATACGAATAAACACTATCGGCGTAGGATCAAATTCCAACAACTGCCACGATCGTGTCGCCTTGTCAGTTTTATTTGCGACCCTTTTCCAATCTTCATTATTGACCGAAACTTCAACAGTGTACTTGTAGAAAACGTAATTTTTTGCACTGTACTCCCAAAGCAATATCCTGCAAATTATGGCAATAATATCGGTAATACATATAAACCTAAATTCAAACAAATGTTGCTAATATATGATAGTGAACAGTATTCATTATCAGATAACAAATGAATCACAAAGTTGCCAAATATAAATGGTATCCCAGGTAATCTAACGAGTCTATTCTACACGTTTTGAGGAAAATTGTTTTGATATAAAACAAGGGGAATTATTTTTGTAAACCATTACCATAACCATTCAAAAATGACAAGCTCGTTAAATCATTACCTCATTGAACTGAGTATATAAGGTTGTGCAAGTTGAATCCGAATACAACCCGATTCCAGCTTATGCCATGTATAATATTTATGCCTTTTTCTGGGTTTATAGCTGTGCAAAAGCATATTAGTTTCAAAACCATTATTTTCACCTTTGATTACATTTGCACCATTAGTCGTTGAAGTGACGTTGTACTTTGGTGCTAATTGGTTAAACGCAGTCAATTAAACATTTAATATGTTTTATATTTTTTAGAAATCGGGTTTTTTTTTTTAATCTTACCAACTAATCCATTAATGATTTCCACCAAGTGCCGTTTGTTTGTGTTGTAACAGACTTTAAACAATTTGCATGTTTTTTTAACAGTATTTTTGATGTGAACATATACTATACGAATATATAACATCAACCTTGGAAGAATCCACAAACGTTGAATTGAACGGCAAATATAATGTGAATAATCTATAACCTTCAACCAATCGTGCTCACCCATTGAAACTTCTATATAATAACTATAATCCATAAAGTGTCGAATTAATCAAACAAAATGTTGTGTATTTTTTTTTTGTTACTAATAAAATATAAAAAAAAATTATTATTGTGCCAAAAATTATTGTAATAATTAAAAATAAATTATTTATTAACGACAATCATTTCAGTTATTATTAATCCATAAAATATCAATGATAAAAATCGAGTTATTTTCATATTTAGAATATATTTTATTTAAAAACCATTTTAATGAAATATATCCATTTATATGGTAAGCATTGATAAAATATAAACATACCGTACATCTTCATCCGGTAACGTCATTTCAATATAGTTTACGGTTCGAGGGCGCTTTAGCTTGAATATGAAATTGCCGTTTATGATATAAGGTTCTTAAAATTGAAAACATATTAATAATTTGTAGAATACAAAATCATGTGCACAGGAGGCATACTTCGATATCCTCGAAAAGGGAGCTTATTTGGCGGAGCCGTGTTTCTTAATTGCTTCGCAGCCGAAATTGTAACTGAACTAACCAATTGTGAATTCTCAACCTCTAAAAGTTCTTCATCACTTATTAAGGGATATCTGACAACAGATAAAACTTTGTCTATTGCATCAGAATCCAGGCCGACTCTATTCTTTTGGATCCAGCGATAAACCGCACGGAATATTTTTATTTCTTTGATATAAAACGAGTCCCGAACGAGAATGTCTTGGATAGCTCCCTAAGAAGACAATTTTTCGTTCAACTTGTCATCTAACAAGAACAATGTTATTTTTTTATTTAAAAAAAAATCATTACCGCCGACAAAGACAGATAATCATCATTATATAGCAATATATAAATAGGGCGGTCCTCGATAAAGTTCAGTAATTCTTCTACGAATTGTTTGTGTTGATAAAGTCGTGCCACTTCAAACAACGGACAAACATTCTCTGTACTAATCTTACTCCGCAAATACTCGGCCAGTGAAAATTGTAATTCTGGTAAACGAAAGAAATCCGAGGTTCTATACAATTCCATAATAACTTCAGGCTAAAATTTAAAAGAACATCACGGTTTCTGGTAAAACTGTTTGAATAGCGATAAGGTAAATCGATTATAGTTTACCTCAAGAACATTTAAATTCATCTGACCGGTGTAAATATACTCCAGAAGTATTTTAAAAGAGGTTAGTGGTATTCCACTAATATTCACCTCAGACTGACCGGATTCATTAAAAGGTCCATACAATAAGTTGCTGAAAATTATACACGATATAAGCAGTATTCTTACGGTTATTGTTACTAATATCATTATAAAAACCAGCTACTATCAATTAATACTAAATTACTATGCTTAATGACAAAACTTAAATACCTAAAATATTCACTGCTTGAGGCTAAGACAACACGATGGGCGGGCACTCGTTCATTGTCGACAACTAAGACAACATCAGAAAATCTGAATGAACATCATAATTTACTATTATACATAGACTTATAATCAAATCATATTATTATATTTAACTTTGAATGAAGATAAATATAGATCTACTGATAACTATAATTAATGCCTTACGATATTTTTTTAGTAAATACATTATACTAGTTAGGCATTTTTATTGTTAACTATTAATACTTATCACGAATAATTCACTTATCAATAATATAATGTCTGTGGTAGGAAGGCACTAGCTCATACATTTTCCAAATTTAGAGAAAACAGTTTAAAACTTTTAATTGATATTGGAATTTTGTAACTGTTTTTTTTAATCTATTTAATAAATACCTTATAATACCAGAAAATTAATCCAATAATAAAAATACAATTCTAGCTACATACTTTTCAATTAGGCAAAGGGTGCTAATGTTCTTCATCAAGAATTGAGAGTGATTAATTTGCTTTATACGGCGCTCTTCTTTTGTAGAAGAAGTGGACACCTCTTCTGTCCCGTAAGATGATGATGATGATGATGTACACTCGACAGGATAATAGCATGCTACAAAGTGTTTATAAATAAACTGAATTTGCGGTAAAGTAAGCATGAATAATTATTTATTCACGATACGATTCACGGTAACATCAAGCTTTACAAATTTTTCATATTATACACTTCAGGTTTTTAAATAAAACAATTACAAAAGTGTTATTGGACGCAAACAATACGTTTTAATAATTATAAAACTGTTAACGTCAAATAATAATAGATGCAAAGCTTTAGTTTGCTCTTAAAACAATTACAAACTTAAATCAACACTTGTGTTGGTTTGTTCAAATAAATAACATCTTACCTACGTAAATACCAGACAACAATTTAAGACCTTGAAATACATATATATTTTGGCTGAACGCAAAAATTATACTAATATTATGACAAATTAACTGTGAACCACTATTCATGTAGGGTGTTAATGAATGTTAAAGGTTTTTTTGTGTTCTAGTTTTAACTTAGTAGTGATACTAGCGTTGTCTAAAAAATGTTTAATAATCATGAAGGTGTTATACATCTTGAGTAATAATAACGCTTAGAGATTGCTGCGATCAAATTATAAAGAAACAAATTTATTTATGTATCAATTAAATAAATTACTTACCTGATGTTGACAAAAAAACAGTAAATATTAAAAAAGAAATCATTATTGTATTAAGTTATGTGTAGTATAATATCAAATATTGTATACTTTATGAAAAATTAAAAAAAAACTTTGTCTTTAGAGGTTGAAAACAAATTGAAATATAAAATTTTATAATATACTTTATTTTAGTAGCGTACTATATGTTTTCATACATACAGACTAACGTTGATAACCGAAAAACTGTATATACAATTTATGTGCGTTTTTTTGTGTACGTACATAAATATGTTTTTGTTGTATATTGAGTATTGTTTAAAATTGCCCAAAAGGTTTGACAATTTTGTCAGCATTGTACATCTCGTCCATATTTATTTTTTTTTAACATAATGTAATATGATTTTGTACTATAAATTACAAGTCACGCTGATTAAATAGTCGCTAATTTTTCCAGCTAAGCAAAAGTCTAGAATTCTTCGGAACCGAACTTTTTTAAATTTCCATTTCCATTTTGAGTTTGAGTTTATTAAAGATTTTTTTAGAAGAGTAAAATAATATTAAAAAATCAGATTTATACCTGTTTTTATGTAAGGGCTGGAGGTAAACATTTTCAACGTATTGAAAAAATAGTAGACCTATTTCAACTTCGATGGATTTTAATTAAAACATTTTTGTAATAAACAAAATTGTAATTACCGATTAAATAATAATATACAAACCCATTTTCATTCGTCCAATTATTTACAACTACAATTTAATGCAAGCAATATCCTTATAAAATAAATTGAACCTTTTTCGAGACCGTTTACCAAAAAAACAAATGAAGATGGATGCTTTTCTACATTCACTCGGTATTTTATATTCATTGGCAGTGAGATAAATATTAGATTCTTGTATTTAGTTTTCCAATTTATAGAAAAATTACCTTTCTAAGAAAGAGGTGATAAATTGCCCGTTAATCATATATAACACTGTTGTTAATTCAACAACAGACATAAAACGAGCAAACACAGACTTCGATAACACCTGACACTATGATGAGTTATTTCATTTCTAATTTTACCAAACACTAAAAGTTTTTACCGAAAATCATCTATTCATTAATAATTATATAAATATACATATTATTTATTTATTTCTCACCATTCCTTACTCTTACTTCACCTACTTACTTACCCCCTTACTTACTCGTTTACCTTATTAAGTAATAATTAATGAAAAAATTCCTAAAACAATGCAAAGCTTAACAAGCACAAAATAAGTATAAGCAAAATTAACAGATTAAAATACACAATGCGAAAAAAATGTTTTTTCAAACACAAATAAAACGAAATGTATTTATTTCAAAGGAATATTAATAATAAAACAATTAAAAATGCAATAAAACAGGTTTTAGATATATATGTCAGTCTTGGTAAGTGCAAATGAAATCAAAAATTTGTTTCCACTACGAATTTGGTTATTGACTGGAGCTTTAACTTGATTCATCTGACATCGAAACATTTGTGTCGTCGCTGTCATCATAGTCATCGTCGAAATCTAACTTTACTTGAGCGGGGGCCTCCAAATATACACAACGAAACTCCTACAGCATTAAAGATTTATTAATAGTTAAATAAAACGCTTATAGATTAAATTTAACTAACATCGCCATCCGAACTGTAAACGCCAGTAATTCGAATAAACACTATTGGCGTAGGATCAAAGTTCAACAATTGCCACGATCGTGTCGCTTTATTAGTTTTATTTGCGACCATTTTCCATTCTTTTTTATTTACCGAAACTTCAATAGTGTACTTATAGAATACGTACTCGTCTGCATCGAGTTCCCAAAGCAATATCCTGCAAATTATGACAATAATATCATTAGTACAGTTTACATCTTAATATATGATCCGTATAAACCTCAATTTAAACAATGTTACTGGTATGCGAAGGAATAGCATTCATTTAGTCGTTAACAAATGAGTCAGTGGACACTAAAGTGGCTGAATGCAGCTAAACGCATACAATAGTGGCCAGATATAAACGGTATCTTAGGTAATCTAACAAGAACAAGACGAAGAAGAACAAGAACTTAAGCATTAAAACTAGGAAGAGCTGCATATGGATTTTTTTGTTATATGGATGCGAAACGTGGACCATTAAGAAGTATGAATAGAACAATTGGAAACGATGGAGATGTGAATTTGGAAAAGAACATCATGGACGAGCTGGGCGGAGAGGAAAAAGAACGACACGTTGCAAGAAATAGGCGGAGAAAGAAACATCATTACTCCTATTATATGAAGAAAAATATAGCTCAACGGACATCTGATAAGACACCATTATTTTGTCACAAACATGTTGGTGGGGAAGATTATGGGTAAACGACCAAGAGAAAGACCCAGACAATCATACTTCAACGACTTCATACAACGAATGGATTTTTATTCATACCTGAAGAATACAGCACGTGATAGAGAAGTTTGGTTACAACGACAAGGCATTGCCTTTAGAAAATGATAATGATGAGTTAATCTAAAGGACCCTACAAGTATTGAGGAAAATTTGTATGGGATAAAACAATTATTGGAAGTTTCGCAAACCATTACCTCATTGAACTAAGCATATAAGGTTGTGGTAGCTGAACCAATATACAACCCGATCCCAGCTGATGTTCTGTATATTTGTCATACATATCGTATTTAACAAAGTAGTCCAATAGCGTATTATTTTCAAAACGACTTTCACCTTTGAGGATAATTGCATTCTTAGACGACAAAACAACATTGTATTTTGGAGCTAAATGATTAAAAACGGTCAATCAGAAAAACGTTTAATATGTTATATATTATTAAGAAAACGTAGCTTTTTTTTGGCGTGTTCTCACCAAATAATCCATCTTCGATTTCCACCAATTGTGGTCTGTTTGTTTTGTACGAGATTTCAACAAATTTGCATGGTTTATTAACAGTAATTTTGGTTCGAACATATACTATACGAATAAACCACGCTGCAATTGGATAAACCCACAAACGTTGAACTGAACGGCAAATAAAATCTGAATAATCTATAACCTTCACCCAATTGTTCTCGTCCATTGAAACTTCTATGTAATAACTGTAATCCATAAAGTATCAAATTAATGGAACCAACTGCTGTGCATTTATATTTGGTTATAATATAATAAAATTTAAAAAAAATATATATTGTCGGTCAAAAAATTGCACTAAAAATAATTAATTTGTGATAAAAACAAACGAATGATATTCGATTCAAAATAATATTTGTTTGAAATATATCCATTTTTGTTTAAAAGAATTGATCATTTGAAAACGTACGCTAAATCTTCATTAGGTAATATTATTTTGATATAGTTTATGGTTGATGGATATTTCAACCTTATCATAGTACCGCCGTTGTTGCTATATGTAATCGAAGAACCCTTAGTCAGATGAGCAAGATTTAAATTGAGCTCTAAAAATTAAAATAATTAAAACATTAAAATTTAATAATCATATTAATTTCAACAAAATGATCCGTACAGCAGGCATACTTCGCTGTGCTCGAAACCCAATCTTATGTGGTGGCCCGGTGTTTCTTAATAGTTTGGCACCCGAAATTGTATCCAAACTAATCAGTCGTGATTCCCAAACCTTAGTCAGTTTTTCATCACTCATCAACGGACATCGGACAGCAGATAAAACTTTTGTTTTTGCATCACCATCCAGGTGTTTTCCATTCTTTCGGATCCAGCGATTAACCGCACGGAATATAACGAATTCTTTAGCATAAAACGAGTCACGCATGAGAATTTCTTGAAGGACTTCCTGAAAATAATGTTTATTTCTCATCTTGTCAGCTAACACTAGCAATATTATTTAAAACAAAATTAATACCGGTGACAAAGACAGAAATTCTTTAGATTGCAATACATCCATAGCGTTGGTTTCAATAAATTCGAGTAAGTCACCTATGAGTTTTTTTTGTTGATGAAGTCGTGCCACAGTAAACAACGAACATACATTGTGTATACTAATGGTACTCCGCAAATACTCGGACAGTGAATATTGTAACTTTTGAAAACCGTAGTAATCCGAAATTCTAAATAATTCCACAATAACTCCATACTATAAAATAAAAATTACATATGAGTTTTATTGTTTTTTGATAAAAACATTTTTGTCAACTAAACACATAAACACATCATTTAAAAAAAAAATAGTGTTTTTTAAATCAAGTATACTTTACCTCTAGATCACTTAAATTCATCTGACCAGTATAAATATACTTTAGAAGTATTGTAAATGAGGTTACTGATCCTTCCTTAATTGGCACCTCAGACTGTTTCGATTCTGCATAATTTCCATAAAATAAGTTGCTAAAAATCATACACGGTATTAGATGAAACCACATATGATGTGTGCCACAATCTGTATGGCCCATTGTATTGTGAGTATAACTTAATAGACTACACACTGAAATGTTATCTGTCTTATACTAAAACTGATCTGACTCGGTAAGTTAGATAATATTTGAATATTATCTACATATATTACTACATACGTTTAAAATAGATACATTAAAATAAGTCTAAATACCTTCTATAACACACTTTTGACAAATTACAAGTATATATCTTCAAATGAGACATTCAGGATGCTCTATGGGTATAATAAATGGTATTCATTTTTTTTCTAATGTAAAAAGTATTTATAATAGAACTGGTATCTCATTATAAAATTATCTAACGAATAAAATTATTTCAGATTTGAAATCAGGAGAAAAAATCGTATTGAATTGAGATGTAATATGATTCTGTTGGTGTCACTGAGTGGCCGGCATTTGACCAAAACCAACATATGACATGTGACACATCATTTTAGGTTAGAATTTTATTCTTATTTCATTGGTGTCCTTAGAATTATTTTATATTTAATGATGTGTCGCATGTCAAATGTTGGTTTTAGTCACATACTGGCCACAGTGTGGCCACTCGGTGGCCAGAGACCAAAAAATCATGTTTCATATCAATTCAATACGATTTTTTCTATTTTTCAAGTTCTATTTTAAATAATTTTTAAATTAAAAAAAATAAATACCATTTATTGTACCCGTAGAGCAACCTGAATGCCTCATTTGAAGCTTGGTAAAACTTTACATTACATCATGTATATTAAAAAAAAATGAAGGGTAATAACTGTTCAAAATATTTTCATAAAAAGTTTTTATTTTAGTCAATATCTGTACATTAGCATACTATTTAAGTTCTTAAATTAAATGATTTTAAAACTACAACTTTTGACGGTATATATTAAATGGTTTGTGTTATAACCGCATTCTGATAAACAATAGTTAGTAGTTATTAATTATTACAGTTATAGATAAGATACTGTATTCTTTATTTTTGTCTTACACTCCCAACTACATGGGATCGACCACCTTAGTCCTACAACCCCATGCAGGTCAAGCTTCTAAATCTCGTTCAATCATCCCAGCTATCTTTTATATCTCTGTCCATTCTGTCTATCGTTACAGTTATCGTTAAAAACGTATTTAATAATAGCAATTTTTATCATTACTGCACAACGAATTAACGTCAATTAATACTAAGGTGGTATGCTTGATGAAAAAAATTATATACCTAAAATATTTACTGCGTGAGGCTAAAACATCACGATTGGCGTGCAACCGATTTTCACCGACAACTAAAACAACATCAGAATACCTAAAATAAACATCAAAGTTTACTATTATACAATTACGGTTTATCAAAAATTATTATGTTTCACTTTTTCAAAGTATTAAAAAACAACATGCTCATCAAGGTAAATGGCTAACGACTTTTACTTAATAATGTGTTATATTATATTATTTAGGTATTTTTCTTTGATACAACCATGTACAAGTGAATGCCAAACTAAAACAATATATACGACATAGACAATTTCGTTTGCTATGTAAAATAAAAAAATAATAAGTATTACCATCGTATTACATGTATAACACATTATAATGTTAACATATTGGAATACATGTTGGGCTATAGCCTATAGTATTAAAGAACTGTATACAAGATCAACTCGCATGTCTTAAATTATTATCAAAGTTATAATGACCATCATGATGTAGTCATATCTATTACAAAATAGATAAATAATTGTGTTTGCAAACTAAAATATAAATTAACGGTAAATGTAATTTGTTCAGTTTCACCAATTTTATAAGAACATACATTTACCATTTTTATTTAAATCATAAAAATATTTTTAACATTATTCATAATTATTTCAAACTCCATTACTGAAAACAAAAAAGTCAATAAGGGTCAATGCATTAACACATACCTCTCGTTCCGATACAGATTGCTTATATCGTTGACCAAGATATGATTGTGATCAATTTCCTCGTTACTGTGCTTTTCGGGCATAGCCGAAGACAAAGGCGGCATACAATCAACAGGATCAGGACATGCTAAACAAAATTAAAAGAACAGCTGATTATCCGACCAAGTTTATATGAATTATTTATATTTTCTAGTCATGCCCTTTGTACTTCACACTACTGAAAATGTATGCTGTATTGCACAGGAAAAATAATAATTAAATAAAATACACGCATATGTAATGATTTGATAGCAATAAGTCTAATTAGAACTGGTGGAACTAGAGAGTAAATTAAGTAATTGATAGAAGCAACATTTTATAAACTACATAGTTTCTACCATAATCAGTGGTACGGTAAAGAAGAAAATAGAAGAACAAACGACAATCGTATTGAATAGCAACTCCAAAAAAATTGTTAAGGAAAAGAGGAATCATCTTCCAAAAAACTTATGCAAAATTATTAAATTACAAGATGAAAAATTATTATGAAATACAAAACATATTATGTACCTGAAGTAAACGTTAAGACGATAAAGGCTAAAAGATACTTGTACATTTTTGTAATTTAATATGTTGTCAAATTCTTAAACACTTTGAAAAGACTTCTTGTCAAAAGATATTAAGAGCCAATTGAGTGTATGTTTTTTTTTAAATACTGCACCAACATTTTCTATACTTTATATGATATATCATAAAAGAATAATCTAGTTCGCATATGATAAAATATATTAAACAAATATATGAAAACGACGCTAGTCTTAAAGTTTATATTTATTATTTGTTTTTTAAAAACAACTTTTTTGTTTTGAATCATAAGCTGCAGAGCATTCTTCTATATATTAGTAATATATTATTATATGATTATGTACGTACATTAAAAACTGGGCGCAGTTTTAGAGCCAAACGAAATAGGCCACAGAATATTTTTTGTTCTCCAAACCGATTTATGTTTTATACATTATTTAATAACAGTTTATTACGCAAGTAATGTACTAACATGACAAAACTACAAACAAGTATATTATAATCTTTATTAATTGTAAATAAAATTACTAAAAAACCGCGAGTAAACACACAATATTATATCATAAAACTTGTAAGAAACGATATCTATAAATTACAGTGTATCCTAAAACTACAGCTTAACATTGTACTCTAAACATTATCAACCTTTGAAACTATTAAGACAGCACATCTTTATTTATTGGCATATTTATAATACAAAATATATGATAAATATGTTTTATTAAAATATTTTGGAGTTTGTTTCAAAAGTCGGTAGAGTTCTTAAAGTCGTGAAAAATACCAGATAAAATTGAGAATATTTGTTTACAGTGTACAACAAATCCAATTAGTTGACAAAACATAAGTACAACAATTAAATCTACAAAATTACAATTAGGATAACAACAGTTAAGGAGATATTGAGTGCCTTGCTTTAATTGAATAACCCTGCATATCATTATATAGTTCTATATGGTGTATATTATTTTTGGTAGCTTATAAAGATAAGTATCATTTTAACAACGTGTTTTGGCTAAACACAATTAGGTTAGAGATATTTTTAAGAAAATAAAAATTAATTTGTGTTATAGAATCAGTATAATTGACAATTCATTAACGCGGTATTTATTAAATTTTATGTTCTTAAATATTTTCTTTATATATATTACTGTATATATATATATATATATATATACTTTTGTGTACCAATATATTATGTATGTATATTTAAATAATTCTAAAATAATCATTTAATAACTATGCAGTTCAGTTCATTGTATTTTTGAGTATAGTTCAAAGTGACTAGAAAATAATTTTACTATAGTAGCGTAGTGCGTACTATATGTTTTCATACATACAGACTAACGTTGATAAACGAAAATCTGTGTATACAATTTGTGTACGGTTTTTTGTGTACGCACCTAAATATGTTTATGTTGTAAATAGAATATTGTTTAAAATAGCCCAAAAGGTTTGAAAATTTTGTCAGCATTGTACATCTCGTCCATGTTTTTTTTTAAACATAATATAATATGATTTTGTACTATAAATTACAAGTCACACTAATTAATTAGTCGCTAATTTTTCCAACTATTGCAAAAGTCTAGAATTCCTTGGAATCGATATTTGCGGTCTTTTTAAAATTCCATTTCCATTTTGAGTTTAAGTTTATTAAAGATTTGTTTTTGAAGAGTAAAAAAGTTTTAAAAAAACAGATTTATACCTGTTTTTATGTAAGGGGTGGAGGTAAACATTTTCAACGTATTTAAAAAATAGTAAAATATGTACAAATATATGGAAAACAATATTTTGATAATATTAATATTTTTTGAGAAAATGAGTGTCATTAGATGGATTTTCGCTGTATTCCTATAGGATGCTGTATTCATAAAATCAACATGTATCTGAAAAATAGTTTTACGTTCTAGTTAATGATACATGGTAAAACACTACAGCAATGTATTATAAAGAGAAGATCAACCCTAATCGGTTCCACTTTAATATTAAACATTTAAACACTTTAATATCGTTTCAAATATTCTAATATTAAATTATGTCGGAAAGTCAATAGTTTTTCTATTTACTTACCACATTTGGTATAAGAGATTAGGTCCTGTGTGTAAAAAAAATGACATTGTCATCTGCCGGGGGATGAGGAGTAAATATGACCTACTTCAACTTCGATGGATTTTAATTATAATATTTTTTTATTAAACGAAATTATAATAACCGATTAAATAATAATATACAAACCTATTTTCATTCGTCCAATTATTTACAACTACAATTTAATGCAAGCAATATCCTTTTAAATAAATTGAACCTTTTTTGAGACAGTTAACCAAAAAAACAAATGAAGATAGATGCTTTTCTAAATTCACTCATTGTGTTATATTCACTGGCAGTGAGATAAAAATCAAATTCTTGTATTTATTTTTTCCAATTTAGAGAAAAATTACCTTTCTAAGAAAGAGGTGATAAATTGCTCTGGTAATCACATATTAACACTGTTGTTAATTCAATAACGGACATATAACAAGAAGACACGGACTTACACCTGACACTATGATGAGTTATTTCATTTCTAATTTTACCAAACACTAAAAGTGCTAACCGAAAATCATCAATTCATTTATAACTATATAATTATACTTAATATTTATTTATTTCTCACCATTCCTTACTCTTAATTCACCTCGTATTACTCGTTCACTTTATTAAGTAATTACTTTTGAAAAAAAACTCCTAAAACCCAGCAAAGCTTGACAAGTACAAAATAAGTATAAACAAATTTAACAGATTAAAATACACAAAGCGAAAAAAATGTATTTTCAAACACAAGATAAAAGGAAATGAATTTATTTCAAAGGAATACAATTATTATAACAATGACAAATGCAATAAAATAGGTGTTGGATATATATGTCAATCTTGTTAAGTGCAAATGGAATCAAACATTTGCTACCACTACGAATTTGGTTATTGACTGTAGCTATAATCTGATGCACCTGACATCGGATCATCTGTTTCGTCGCTGTCATCGTCGGAATCTAACTTTACTTTAGCGGGAGCCTCTAAATATACACAACGAAACTCCTACAGCATAAAAGAGTTATCAATAGTTAAATAAAACGCTCATAGATTACTTTTAACTAACATCGCCATCTGAACAGTGGACGCCAGTAATTCGGATAAACACTATCGGGGTAGGATCAAAGTTCAACAACTGCATTGATTGTGTCTCCCTTTTAGTTTTATTTGCGATTATTTTCCATTCTTTGTTATTTACCGATACTTCGATAGTGTACTTGAAGAATATTAACTCGTCTGGATCGATTTCCAGCAACATCCTGCAAAATATGGCAGTAATATCGGTAATACACTCTAAAATTTAGATCTAATTCGTAATAACCTAAATTTAAACAAATGTTGCTGATATGAAATTGAATAATTTCAACCATTTAGCCGTCTACGAATGAGTTAAACATTAAAGTGGCTCAATGCAGCTAAACGCATACAATAGTTGCCAGATTTAAATGGTACCTTAGGTAAAAATTACCAAACGGGTTTACACTACAAGTTTAGAGGAAAATTGTTAAGATATAAAATAATGGGAAGTTTCTTAAACCATTACCTCATTGAACTAAGCATATAAGGTTGTGGTAGCTGAACCAATATACAACCCGATCCCAGCTTATGCCAAGTATGCCTGTCATACATATCGCATGTATTTAAGTGGTCCAATAGCGTATAATTGTCAAAACGACTTTCCCCTTTGAGTATAATTGCATTCTTAGACGACGAAACAACATTGCATTTTGGAGCTAAATGATTAAAAACAGTTAATAAGAAAAACATTTAATATTTTTTATATTAATAAGAAAAGGTAGCTTTTATTTTTGGGTGTTCTCACCAACTAGTCCATCTTCGATTTCCACCAAGTGACGTCTGTTTGTTTTGTACGAGATTTCAACAAATTTGCATGGTTTATTAACAGTATTTTTGGTTCGAATATATACTATACGAATATACCATGCTGCAATTGGATAAACCCACAAACGTTGAACTGAACGGCAAATATAATCTGAATAATCTATAACCTTCACCCAATCGTTCTCGCCCATTGAAACATCAATGTAATAACTGTAATCCATAAAGTATTAAATGAATCAAACCAACTGCTGTGCATTTATTTTTGGTTAAAACATATTAAAATTAAAAAAAAATAATTTTGTTGTACAACTATTTGTTGATTCAAAATAATATTTGTTTGAATGATATTCTTTTTTTGTTTGAAAGAATTGGTAATTTTAAAACGTACGCTAAATCTTCATCAGGTAATATTATTTTGATATAGTTTATGGTTGATGGATGACTCAACCTTATCATAGTACCACCGTTATTGTTATATGTAACCGAAGAACCCTCAGCAAGATTTACATTGGGTTCTAAAAAATAAAATAATTAAAACCATTATAATAATAACAACAAAATTATCGGTACAGCAGGCATACTTCGCTGTGCTCGAAACCCAATCTTATGTGGTCGCCCGGTGTTTCTTAATAGTTTGGCACCCGAAATTGTATCCAAACTAATCAGTCGTGATTCCCAAACCGTCGTCAGTTCTTCATCACTCATCAACGGACATCGGACAGCAGATAAAACTTTAGTTTTTGCATCACGATCCAGGTGTTTTCCGTTCTTTTGGATCCAGCGACTAACCGCACTGAATATATCGAATTCTCTGGCATAAAACGTGTCACGAATGAGGATTTCTCGAAGGACTACCTAAAAAAAATGTTTGTTTCTCATCTTGTCAGCTAACACTAGCAATATTATTTAAAACGAAATTATTACGGGCGACAAAGACAGAAATTCTTTAGATTGCAATACATCCATAGCGTTGGTTTCAATAAATTCGAGTAAGTCGCCTGTGAGTTTTTTTTGTTGATGAAGTCGTGCCACAGTAAACAACGAACATACATTGTGTATACTAATGGTACTCCGCAAATACTCGGACAGGGAATATTGTAACTTTTGAAATTCGTAGTAATCCGAAATTCTAAATAATTCCACAATAACTTCATACTAAAAAAAAACCATATATTAGTTTTATCGGTTTTTGATAAAAACATTTTTGTCAACTAAACACATAAACACTCATTAAAAAAAATAGTGTTTATACCGTTCAAATAGCGGTATAGTAAATCACTAATACTTTACCTCTAGATCACTTAAACTCATCTGACCAGTATAAATATACTTTAGGAGTATTGTAAATGAGGTTACTGATCCTTCCTTAATTGGCACCTCAGACTTTTTCGCTTCTGCATAATTTCCATAAAATAATTTGCTAAAAATGTTTACACGGTATTAGATGAAATCACATATGATGTGTGCTACAATCTGTATTGCCCATTGTATTGTGAGTATTACTTAATCGACTACACAATTGAATTGTTATCAGTACTATACTAACACTGATTTGACTCGGTAAGTTAGATAATATTGAAACATTACTACATACGTTTGAAATAGACACGTTAAAGTCAGTCTAAATACCTTTTATAACACATTTTTTACAAAATACAAATATATATATATATACAAGGTGTAATGTAAAGTTCTACCGAGCTTCAAATGAGACATTCAGGATGTTCTATGGGTACAATAAATGGTATTCATTTTTTGTTAATTTTAAAATTATTAAAAATAGAACTTGTATCTCATTAAAAAAATGTCTTATGAAAAAAATTATTTCAGATTTAAAATCAGGAGAAAAAATCATATTGAATTGATATGTAATATGATTTTGTTGGTGTCTGGCTACGCTTGCGTCCACCGAGTGGCCTCGAATCAACATCGATTAATACTAAGGTGGTAAGCTTGATGAAAAAAATTAAATACCTAAAATATGAGCTGCGTGAGGCTAAAACATCACGATTGGCGTGCAACCGATTTCCACCGACAACTAAAACAACATCAGAATACCTAAAATAAACATCAAAGTTTACTATTATACAGTTACGATTTATCAAAAATTCAAAATTATTATGTTTCATATTTTTAAAGTTTTAAAAATCAATATGCTCATCAAGTTAAATGACTGAAAAATTGTATTTACTAATGTGCATATTATATTATTTAGGTATTTTTCTTTGACAAAACCTATATACAAGTTAATGCCAAATTAAAACAATCTATACGACATAGACATATGTACTATGTATTACTATGTATTACATAATTGATGAACAATTTGGTTTGCTATGTAAAATAAAAAAATAATGAGTATTACCATCGTATAAATTGTAAAACACATTATAATGTTAACATATTAGAATACATGTTGGGCTACAGTATTAAAGAACTGTATACAAGAAAAACTCACATGTCTTAATCTATTATCAAAGATATAATGACCAACACGATGTGCAGGGCCGGTGCTAAGAAATATACAAGGGGGGGTGTCAAAATGAAGATGCCGACTTTAAAATTTTAATTGCCGACTAAAATGTTTGGGTACTTTCGTAAATATTTTATGACATTTTACATCACAAATCACAATTTTTTGCTAAAATTAGTGGGAATTAATAATTGTTGAAAATTATTTTTTTTTTAACTTTAAATTATTATTTTTTTAAGTATTAATTAATACAAACAAATTTAGATAGTAAAAAAACCATCAAAAGTTAAACTTTAATATGGCGTTTTTTTTAATGCGGACTATTTCCTTGTTATTTCTTTCAAATCAATTATATCGAGAATATCTCTGGTGGAGTTAAAAATCGTGAAGGTCATTTTAAAAGAATAAGAAGAAGAAAAATTATAATGATGTGATATTGTTATAAATTGTGACTAGATTTTTTTTGATTATTAAAATGTTTTGCGGAGCATAGAAATATTTTAGGCAGCTAACAAATTTTCAGATCTCAGTCACCAGTACTAAAGCAATTTGAGCCCTACTTTAAAAGCATTATTTTAAAAATGTTTGAATTTATTTAACATAATTATAACGTATTGCAGTTGAAACTGCAATTTAACCGAGATATAATCCAAATAGCCTAATATTTTAAATAATTTTATAAAAAATAATGACATTGTATTCAAAATTATTATTAAAATCTTTGAAATAAAAACAAAAATGTATTTTTTTATGAGTTATTACAATTTTATTTTTATTTTAGTTAGGTACACTATTTAAAAATAATGCTCATGTCTGCTCCCTGCTCGCTATATATATATATAGTATAGTAGGATATTATAGTAGGTAATATCTCACCGCAACGATAGTAATAAAGAAAAAACAAGACGTAGTGAAGTAGTACTAAGGAACTCTCATAGGCCTTAAAAATCTGGCTTAATGATTTATTCTAAATACGTATCCATCTCATACCTTTTGTTCGAAATTTACTCGGGCAGGCTCAAAAGGATTGTTAGCAGCTCCTTGGTATTTCATATTTATTCTCTAACCATATATATATATATATATATATTTGATTACACACATTTATAACCAATACTTATTATTTTACACGCGCGCACGGGACAAGCAAAAATAAACCCGCTAACTCTTTGCCTGCAGACTTAATACTGTGGGTTATGTGATATGTCTAAAACAGAAGAGTATGTTTTTTTTTATAGTAGGGAATCTTTTAGAATTTTAAAACTAAAAAAAAATATATACTTATAGAGGGATAGAATGTTTGTTTACAATAGACCAATAGGTCCCATGACCGAACATCGTTTGATATAATATACACCACAGTTATTATAAACAAATAATAATACTTCTGCTAAAATCGGGAATAACCGAAAATGCATTGTTTGTTTTTACTTAAAACTAAAATTATATTTTCGTATGGTCGTCCGTATGCCGACTATTCGCTATTCAGTCACCAGATTCCAATAAAAATTATGTACCCACCTACTTTTATAAAATAAAAATAATAAATATGTTATTTGTATAATTTAATGGGGGTTATAATATTTACCGACTTTTTGTTCCGAATGTGCCGACTAGGTATACTTGAGTTTCCCAGTGGGGGGGTGTCAAACCCCCCACACCCCCCTCTAAGTCCGGCCCTGACGATGTGGTAATATCTTACTGTATCATAATTATGTAGTAAATTGTAATTTATTCAGATTTCACCAATTTTATAATGACATACATTCACCATTTTTATTTAAGTCATAAAAATATGTTTAACATCATTCATAATTATTAAAACTCCTATACTGAAAATAATAAATTCAATAAAAATGAATACATTAACACATACCTTTCGTTCCGATACAGATTGTTTATATCGCTGATCAAGATGTGATTGTGATCAATTTCCTCGTTACTGTGCTCTTCGGGCATAGGCGAAGGCAACTTACAATCGACAGGATCAAGACATGCTAAAAAAATTTAAAAAAACAGCTGATCATCCGGACGAGTTTATATGAATTATTTATATATTATAGTCTTGCCCTTCGTACTTCACACAACTGAAAATGTATACTGTATTGCACAGTAAAAATAATAATTAAATAAAATACACGCATATGTAATGATTTGATAGCAATAAGCCTAATTAGAACTGGTGGAACTAAAGAGTAAATTAAGTAATCGATAAAAAGCAATATTTTATGAACTATATAGCTTATACCCTAATCAGTAGCATTGTAAAAATGGAAATAGAAGAACAAAGACAATCGTATCGAATAGGAACTCCAAATAAATTATTAAGGAAAAGAGGAATCATCTTCCAATGAGCTTATGCATAGTAATTTAATTACTAGATGAAAAATGATTATGGAATACAAAACCTTTTATGTACCTAAAGTAAACGTTAAGACGATAAAGGCTAAAAGAGACTTGTACATTTTCGTAATCTAATATGTTGTCAAATTCTTAAACACTTTGAAAAGACTTCTTGTCAAAAGATATTAAGAGCCAATTGAGTGTATGTTTTTTTTTAAATACTGCACCAACATTTTCTATACTTTATATGATATATCATAAAAGAATAATCTAGTTCGCATATGGTAAAATATATTAAACAAATATATGAAAACGACGCTAGTCTTAAAGTTTATGTTTATTATTTGTTTTTACTAAAACCGCTTTTTTACTATGAATCATGTGCGGCAGAGTATTCTTCTAAATTTTAGTATTATATTTTATGATTATGTACGTACATGATATATGAAGCGCATTTTCAAAACGAAAACAGGGCACAAAACTTTTTGGGTTTTCCAAAACGATTTATGTTTTATACATTATTTAATAACAGTTTATTACGCGAGTAATGTACTAACATTGCAAAGCTACACACAAGTATATTATAATCTTTATTAATTGTAAATAAAATTACTAAAAAACCGCGAGTAAACACACAATATTATATCATAAAACTTGTAAGAAACGATATCTATAAATTACAGTGTATCCTAAAACTACAGCTTAACATTGTACTCTAAACATTATCGACCTTTGAAACTATAAAGACAGCACATCTTTATTTATTGGCATATTAATAATACAAAATGTATGATAAATATGTTTTATTAAAATAATTCAGATGAGTTTGTTTCAAAGGTCGGTAGATTTCTTAAAGTTGTGAAAAATACCAGATAAAATTGAGAATATTTGTTTACAGTGTACAGCAAATCCAATTAGTTGACAAAACATAAGCACATAAATTAAATCTACAAAATTATATTTAGGAGAACAACAGATTAGGAGATATTGAGTGCATTGCGTTAAATGAATAACCCTGCATATTAATATATTGTTCTTAATGGTATATATTATTTTTGGTAGCTTATAAAGACAAGTATCATTTTAACAACGTGTTTTGGCTAAACACTATTATGTTAGAGATATTTTTAAGAAAATAAAAATTAATTTG